TATCCTTTTTATCTATTGGATTTAATTTGTTAAGTTTTAATATGGATTTGATTTGCTAAAATTTTGTTTAGAACTTTGTATCTGTGTTTTTGAAAGATGTTGGCTTGTAGTTTTCTGGTAATGTCATTATCCGGGTTCAGTGTCAGGGTAATGCTGGCATCACATAATGAGTTGGCGGGCATTCCTTCTTCAGTTTTCTGGAAGAGTTTGGGTAGAATTAGTGTTATTTCTTCTTTTAATGTTTGGGAGAATTCATTAGTGAAGAAACTAGAGTGTTCTTCATTAGTGGGAAAGTTTTTTTGTCTGTAAGTTCTATTTTATTAGTAGAGACCCGCTGACTTTCAACCCTGATCGGTTTGGCCCCGGAGCACCCAAGCCACGGTTCACCTACTTCCCCTTCCCGCTAGGCCACCGCTCCTGCATCGGGCAGCAGTTTGCTCAGATGGAGGTGAAGGTGATCATGGCAAAGCTGCTGCAGAGGCTGGAGCTCCGGCTGGTGCCCAGGCAGCACTTCGGGCTGCAGGAGCAGGCCACGCTCAAACCACTGGACCCAGGGCTGTGCACTCTGTGGCCCCGAGGCTGGCAGCCCACACCCCCACCTCCCCGCTGCTGAGGAGGCCTCCAGGCAGGACAAGACTCCCCGGGCAAGGGCCGTGCCCGTCCACCTCTGCTGTCCACGGCCACCCACCCTTCTCCCTTGCCCTATCCCCTGAGCCACCCTTCACACTGGCTTTCAGCGGGCCCTCTGCCGACCACCTGCTTCAAACCCCTCAGTGCTCCCTGTCGTCTGTGGACTCCACAGCCCTTCCTGGACTGGCCCTTGCTCAACTTCCAGCCACCACCATTGTCCCTACCACTGAGGCCTTGCACAGGCCACTTCCTCAGACGAGACATCCTAACTCTTGTTCACTCCCTAAAGCCCTCTTCAGGTGTCACCTCCTCTAGGAAGCCCTCCTTGCCACCCCCAGACAGGTCAGGGGCCCTTCCTCTGTGCTCCCTCGGTCACCTGTGCTACCTCTAACACCACACTGACCACACTGTACCGTGAGTGTCCATTGACGTGACCAATTGCCCTGCCAGGCTGTGAGGGCCTCAATGGTAGGGTCTGCATGTGATTCCTCTCTGAGCCCCCTGTGCCCACCCAGGGCCCGGCACAGAGTTGATGCTCAATAAATGTGTGTTTACTGCAGAAACAAACAAACAAACAAAAAAAAACAAGTATATACAGAGATGCTAAGGTTATTTCTTTTTGACTGTGCTTTCATAATTTGTGTTTTTTAGAGAATTGTTTTGTTGAGTTGTCAAATTTATAGGTATAAAGTTGCTCATAATATTCTCCTATTTTTTTCTGTAAGGGAATGTGTGGTGACGGCACCTGTCTCATTCCTAATTTTGCAATTTGTGTCTTTTTTCATATTTTCCCTGATCAACTTGGCTGGAGGTTCGTCAATTTCATTGATCTTAAAAAAATCACCTCTTGGTTTCATTGACTTTTTCCCCTACTGTTGTACCGTTTTCTATTCCATTGATTTCTGCACTGAATTTTATTTTTTTTTCTTCTGATGTTTATTTTGCCATTATTTTTAATTGCTATGGCTTCGAGTTAGCCAATCTTTTCTTCTGCCATGTTTAATACATCCTGAATCCTACTAAGAGTATTTTTCATCTAAGACATTGTAGTTTTCATCTCTAGTTTCTATTTGAGTATTTTTGAAATCATCCATGTCTCTACTTAACTTTTGAACATATAGAGAACAATTAAAATAATTATTTTGACATCTTAGCCTGGCAATTTTAAATCTGTTTCAGTTCTTGGATGGTTTTGATTGATTGATTATTCTCTCTGTGTTTTCTTGCTTCTTTGTATGCTTGGTTATCTTTGATTAGATGCCAGAAATGGTGACTTTTACCTTATTGGGTGGGGGATCTTTTTGATTCTTATAAATCTTCTTGAGCTTTGTTCTGGGATGTGTTAAGTTACCTGGAAATTTTTTGATCTTCTTGAGCCTTACCTTTATGATTTATTTGGCATATCTGAGCAGTCCAGGGCTAATTATTCTCCACTACTAAGCAAGATTTTCTGGAATACTGTACCCAATGCTCATAAAGTATGATTTCTTTCAATTGTCAGGGGGAAATATGCAATATTCCCAGTCCTGTGTGAGCATCAGACAATGTTCTTTAATCTTTTCAAATTATTTTTCCTCCATCCTCAAGTGTTACTTCACATACATGTGCTAATCAGGAGTCTGTTGAATATTAGATGGGGATGCTCTGCAGATCATCATGGCTCTTTCTTGGCACATCTCTTTCCTTTTATTACTTTGTCCATCCATGAACTCTATCCCACTTGGTTTCCCTAACTCGCAGCCTTATCACCTCTGTTCAAGGATCCTACTGGGCTCCACTCAGACTTTCTTCTTTGTCCCCGTAGCCTGGATATTCTCCGAAGGCAGCAAGCTGGGGCAGTCATAGGGCTTACCTAGTTTGTTTCTTGTCTTTTAGGGAGTAACTATCCTTTGTTGCCTTAGGTCTAGTGTCTTGAAAATGGCTGTTTCTGACATTTTATCTTTTTTATTTTGAAAGCAGGAGGGTAAATTCAATCCTGGTAACTTAATCATGGGCAAAAGTGCAAATCTCCTGGCATCCAATTCTTACCATAGATTTCTGACGTCTGGAAGCATGGTGGAGCAACACACTTCTGAAGGAAGAGCAGGTACTCTAGTGAAGTTTTCCACAAAAGAAGAAAATGCTGTGCTCTTTGTCCACCTCACCAACTTCCCTTCAGCCCTTGGGGAGTGTAGAAGACCTCCATGTTCATCAGTGCTCCATTTTAAGGAGAGAGCAGAAGTTGGAGGATAAGGTGGAAGTTCTGATTGACGTGGACCACATAAGGTGACATCCGGCCAAAAAGGAAGCTGGGAGCCACAGACTGCTAATAAGATGAAGGGAGACACAGCTACCCCTCTGTGGGATCATCAGTGATGGAGGGGGCTGGCATAAAGATGAACATCTGCCTCCAAAACCATATAACTCCATACACCACATCATCTAATAGGAGACCAACATATTGTCAGAGGCCACCAGCAACAGAGGGAAGCAGGTAAAGTCAGTGTAAGATCAGGAGCCTTTCTCCACCAATGACAAACAGCCACTTATTTAGAGTGGCCTGTGTTATTCCTCTTATTTTTCCTTCTTCCCTCAACATGAAAGGCACTAGACCCAGAAAAGAAAGGAGGAGAAAATAGAAGACAAGACCACAACCCCTTACCACTCTTTGTTTGTTTGTTTGTTCTGAGACAGTCTCACTCTGTTGCCCAGGTGCTGGAGTGCAGTTGCATGATCTCGGCTAATTGCAAACTCCATCTCCCAGGTTCAAGTGATTCTTGTGCCTCAGTCTCCCGAGTAGCTGGGACTATAGGCATGCACCACGACGCCCGGCTAATTTTGTATTTTTTTTGTAGTGACGGGGTTTCTCCATATTCCCTTCCCACTCTCGTAACTTGAGGTACAAGTCTGGCAAACACTGAAGCGAGACGAGGAAATGCTATTGAAACTGGATACGAGATGGGAGTTGTGAACTAGACCAGATGGGACTTTTGGTAACTGATATCGATGGGAAAGCAATGGGATCTACCTGAAGATATCATTAGAAAATGAGACTGGCAGATATTACATATCACATTTAACCGTTGTGCCTAGAGTAAATAAGCGGAACTGTTTATACCTATATCCCAATGGATTGAGGCTCCTCAATAAACTGGTTACATCACATCTGCTAACAACAGCTGCTAAACATTGAAAGGGATACTGTGCTGAGTGCTGTACACATGCTATGTCATTTGCTCTTCACAACCTATAGGATAGGCAATCGTTTTTCCCCCATTTTGCAGATGACAGAAACCGAGGCACAACCAATTTGTCTAAATATAGATTATAGAAATTTCACATATATCTCTCTAGTTCACACGAAGCATCATTCTCCTTAAGCACTTTGCTCATACCCTTGATGTTCTTCCAAACATTTTTGCTTACGTTCAGTGTTTTCCATTTCTCTAAGCTGTGTTGTGTCAGTCCATCTCCTGATGAAGCAAGGGCAGTTTGAATGCTGGAATGGAGGTGAATGAGGAAGGGGAACACTATGGGAAAATATTTGTTTTACGCAGATAAAATGTTGGATTGGAACGCATGGAACTACATCCGGGTGAGAGGCATCGAATAAATCACTTAACCTCTTTGTACTTTAGTTTCCTTATATGATTTTATGGGCATCATGATAGTGCCTACTTCACTGGGCTGGCACTGGGAACGAAGTGTGAGTATAGATGAAGCCGTTAATCAGTGTCTGGCACACGGTCTGCTCTATCCGAGGATTAACCATGGTTATTATCTGTCCTTTATTACTAATTAAGTTCTTTTCACCACTGAAAGCAAAAGTCCAAATGAACCTAAATATATGCGTTTCTTTTCTCCTCCACATCTTCGCTGCACCTCCTTCGTTATTCTACCTCCATCACCACCCCAAGAAATTAGATCTTTGCATAGCAGAAAACACTTTTCCCATTCATAAGAGAAAGAATGGGACTTTGTTGTTGTTGTTGCTATTCCAAGACAGAACCCAAATTTGACACCCAGTTTTTCTAAGTACACCTCTGGTACATTGCTGGAGGTGTCAGTGTGAGGATTTAAGCTTAGGTGTATCTGACAGCTGGTTACCCAGATGAGAAACCCAGAGTCCTCTTCGGTCCTTTGCAGTGAGCTGCCTGGACCTGCAGCGTTCCTGGAGTACCTTCTATGTGCACCAGGTGGCAGGTGCTGCTTCGGAAATGCAGGTGCGGCAGCTGCACAACTGGTTCTACGCGTGGATCTGAGCACCGGGCTCACCTGGGAGATTTCTAATAACACAAATGCCCAGCCTCCGCCCCCGAGATTTTGACGCCGTGAGTTTGGTGTGGGGGCCTGGCATGTGTGTTTTTATAAAGCCCTACAGGTAACTATGATTCAGCTTGGTGCAGGGCCTGCGTTTGGAAGCATCTGCTTCAGAGTGTTCCAGAGAATGGCAGCCTCACACAAGCATGAAGCGTTTAACTGTGCAACACAAATCAATAACTTGGGCTCCTAGAATTCAGGGTGAGGTTTCACAGAGTGTCAGAGTTGAAAAGGATCTTGGAGCTCACTGATGAAGCATTAACGACGAAGAGCCTGAGGCCAGAGAGAATGTGCGAAGGACAGCCTGAGCTACAGTGCCGGTCTCCTCCCTCCTCCGCAGCCCTGCTGACCGCAGCTCTCCGTGGTTATAATACTGTCACTTCCCCGCTAGCCCAAGGATCTGAAAATACTTTTTGGTAAGCCACGGGAAGGACCCTCCTCCCTAAGTCAGTACCTTTAGCTGCTGTTGGAACAACTCCAAGCCTCAAATAATTCAAAACTGTGTGAAACGCGTTTTTGCCTGAATTAGGTGGGTGGCCTTTGTCCAGAGGCCATGTTTTAATGACTCTACAGCGTGGCCCCCCTGCCATCCATGCCTGCGGGGATGCTCAACCCTGTCTCCCAGCCCTGGTGCATCCCCAGCCCCGTGCTCCAGTCTTCTCACGGTCCTTGGGCATATCAAAACCTCTCTGAGCCTCCGTTTCTTCTCTGTAAGACAAGGGTGAGGATCACATGAGAAAATGTTCAGCATTTCTGTGTGTAACTGTCGGAAAAAAAAAAACAAAACTAGAGCTTAGTTTTCCTCTGTACTCTATCTTTGAACACTTTTAAGTTGGATTCTAGCTTCGCAGAGGCAAAGGTCCTTAGAAAATCTGTAACTGAAACCGCTAACTTTATACTAGGGCAAACTGGGTCCAGAAAGCTGAATGATTTACACAGGGACTTGTTGTGAGAGGAGGATTGGCATGTAGGTGTCCCGATGTCCAGCCTTCTGTCCTTTCTTCGGTATCACAACCATGCAGCCCTGGGGCCTCTCGGGTGGAGCCTCTTACTATTATTATTCTGAATAGCTCTGATGCTAACTGGTGTCTTCCCCTTTCTCCTTTCCTTTCATCAACACTTAGTGAGCACCTGTTTTATCTTGTGCCCTATACTTGGTTTCTGTTAGAGAACCTTGCCTTGCCTACAATAAGTACTAAATAAATCTTTGACAGTGGTTTAATTATCCACATTTATTCATATATTTAGTGATAAGCACTTGCTTTGTGCTAAATCCTCTTTAGGGAGGCTGCGAGGAACCCAAGAGGGGCAGATAATGACATGGTCCACAATGCGCTTAAGGAGTTGGCAGAGTTTGGGATTAGGGGAGTCTGCGCGTGTGTGGATAATTAGCATTCAGGAGAAAGTAGAGTGCACGTAAGTACAGCTATGTGCACCGTAGTGGCAGGAGGTCACTTTGCTTTGGGGCTGGAAGTCTGGGAAGTCAGACCCTGTACTTTTTCAGCGTAAACCCTTGATCCCCTTCTCCTTTAGCCTCTCTCGTGACTGCTTCTGCAGGCTTCTCTCCTAGACTTTCTCTTCTCACTCTATGTGGTCTTTCTGGAACATCATCCATCTTCCTGCCTCAATGATCATCTAATTCTTGATGACTTTTAAATCTATATCTCCAGAGGAAAGTGTTTCTCTGAGTCTCAGACCTTTACATCCTACTGTTTCCCAAATGTCACTGATTGCATAACTTGTCACTTGTACAGAACTGATCTCCTTTCCCCTCCAGTCTGCTTCTCCTCAGTGAGCTCAGAAACCTGGAAATGGTCCTTAACTCCCCACTCTTTTCTTTACTCTTCCACCACCCCAGTAATATCGAGGTTCCTTAAACCCCAGAATCCTGGAAATCTAAACAGCCCTGTCACAGTTTCCTTTCTCTCCAACCCACTTTTCCCTATCACAGATTTCTTTCTCTCCAACCCACCTTTTCTGCCACTGTCAATCTCTGGGTACAATCAAGATTCACCTGCATTTTTGTGACAACTTTTTACCCAAATGGTCTTCCTATTTTGAGTCATGCTCACCTATCAGTCCTCCGAATTGGACCCAGAGAAGTCTTCTTATATAAAATAAAACAAACAAATGAAGTCCCTCCATCACTTACAGCTCTTAGAGTGTCTTCCCTCTGTTCCCAAACTTCATACTCTTGTAAGTGGCCTCTGCAACCTGTGCTATGGATTGAATTGTGTCCTCCAGAAGCATACGTTCAAGCCCTCACTCCTCATACCCCAGAATGTGAGCTTAATTGGGAATGGAGTTGTTGACATGTAATTAGTAAGATGAAGTCATGCTGGAGTAGGGTGGGCTCTTAATCCTGTATGACTGGAATCTGTATAAGAAGAGGGAAATTTGGACACAGACATAGGCATAGAGGGAGGACAGCCATGGGAAGTGAAGGCAGAGATTGGAGTTATGCTGCCAAAGCCAAGGAACACCTGGCTGCTGCTTCCAGAATCTGGAAGAGGCAAGGAAAGGATTTCTCTTTCCAAAAAGGCTTTGGAGGGAGCATGGCCTTGCCAATACCTTGATTTTGGATCTCCAGCCTCCAGAACTGCGAGACAATACATTTCTGTTGTTTTAAGCCACCCAGTTTGTGGTAATTTGTTATGGCAGCCCTAGTAAATGAACATAAACTGTCAGGATCCAAATTCCAAGTATCTTTCCAGCCTCCTCTGCAGTCACGTGCCTCAATTCACCCTGTTATCTCAGGCACACTGGATTACACACAGCTCTGGAAACACACTGTGCACCTGCACACCTTTGCTCACACTGGTCTCTGGTGGAAGGCTCTTCCTCTTCTCTGCTTGCCCACCTTCTCCACAACTTCTTCCTTCTGTCCCTTCGGCACCAGACATATGAACAACGATGACTTGTCCTGGCCCCCTTGAGAGCAGGGACTCTGCTTCCCTCGTCTCTATCTCTGGTGCTTTAGCACTGAGCTGGCCTAGCACAATGCTGAAAGAATTGATTTGAGCTGGGTCACATGTTGGCCCACAGTTTATGAGTTGGTGGGTGGTGGGATTCAAAACCCTCATTCCTCCCTCCTCACTGGATTTCCAAAGAGGGGTTCACCCTGATTTCATCACCCACTAAAAGCTAATTAACCACAGGGCATGGATTCTTCTTGGAAACCCCCAAACTGCCAACTTCTTCTCCCTCATGCTGTTGCCAAGGCTCTCGAGCGGGCTTGGAGGGAGGAAACGTGGACAAAAAGATTTTGTTCGTTTCTTTGAGGCCAACACCTAATCACTGTCCCTTTTCAAGTGAAAAACGGGGAAAATGCTAGCTAACTGTTGTTTAGTGACCCCAACCCCCATCCCTTTAAAATAAACACTCTTTTCAATTAGGAAGATTTGTCACTGGGGACAGTAATTCCGTGTCCTACCAAAACAAACACAGTTGTAATTAGTTTTATCCAGGAAGAAAATTAACTCTGTTTATCTTAGCATAATTAATCACTGACCTTTTTCCGTCCCGGCAGCTTGGGGGAGGGCATGGGAGTGGGGGGTTGTGATCTACAGCACAGGGGCGTTCCGGGCTCCATCTATCTCTCGTCTTGGTTACACAGCTGTCTGCGTGAGTTATTTGAATTAATATTCCTAGCCAAGAGTTGTGGAGCTGCCTCAGAGCTGGACTTGGAGAGACCACTAAATAAGGCTATGATTTTATGGCTTCAGTCTGTGGAGAATTTTAGATGAGTACGTATCAGATGGGCATGAAGGCACGTGGCTGACACTGAAGTTTGCTTGGCTCCTTTCATGCCCTTCACCTTGACCTCAACAAGTCTTGAGAAATGGGAAGGATCCTCAGGCAAAGGCGTTGGTCCTTGGTTGTGGAAGAGAGGCTGCTGCTGCAGTGAGGAGGGACAGGCTTTGGAGCTACGGTTTGGGTGTCAGTCTTGACTCTGATATCCTCTAGCTATATGACTTTGGGCAAAATACCTCATCTTTCTGAACCATAGTAACCTCCTAAGTGAAAAAACAATAACAACAAAAAAAAAACCAAAAACAAAACAGAAAAAACCAGGACATGTGTGCATGTGTGTGGTGGGGACAGGGTTAGTAATATATATCCACAGGGATGAATAAGGATTAGAAGTGAGGTATGCTATGTCCCTAGCACAGGGTCTGGTACTAAATAGTAATTCAGTGAACTCAGGTAGGTTTTGTTATTTTTGTATGAACTAACTGAGATTCCAGGGGTGGAAGGACACAATGAATGTCCTCTCTCTTTATTTCAATAGACCCACAACTCATGGAGACCCTACTGTGTGCTGGGCTCTTCTGCATTAGGCCCTGGAAATAAAAAGAGGGTTTAATCCTGGCTCCTGTCCTTGAGGAGCTCACAGCCTATTGCAGAGAGAGATATACCCAGATGTTCTCAATGTGTTGCAACAAATGCTAAGCTGGAGACATGGGCATGAGATCCCCTGGTAGAGAGGGAAGCAGAGACTGAAGGGAGTCTGATTTCACTTGTTCTGAGCCATTTAGTCAATGTATAATTCCTCACTTAATCCTCATGATAACTCTAAAAATAGGCATGAGAGAGGGGTCCCAGGGAAAGGTAACTGAGGCTCACAGATGGGAAGTCATTAGACCCCAACTACACAGCTAGAAAATGGTGCAGCTGGGATGTGAATCAGATTTGTTTGACACGGGAGCCTGTGCTTTGTCAGTTTTCACCTTGGAGGTCCTGGCTGGGTTTTAATGACTGGTGTCCTTCCCCAGGACCTTTAGTCAGGAGCGTTAAAGCAGCAAGGCCCTGAAGGCTGGTGTCAGGAGACCCCAGGGTTAACAATGCAGCTTCTTGAGCCTCACCTCAGGCTCTTCCATGTTAAAATCTCTTGCAGGAGGATAATTTTAGCAACTATAATACCTAAGGTGATTCTTATGTTCTCACCATCTGTTATAGTTTTAAAAACCTACCTTTTGCTCATGATGTTCAGATGGCTACTCCCACATGTGTTTGCAGGTGGGTGGGGAGAGCGTGTCCTCTAGGTAACAGGAAAAGAGAACTATGAAATCAAGGAGGCCCACATTCTGAACTGAGAGGGATGAAGAGGGGAGGTGAGATGGGCCAGGACCTCTTGAGAGTGCCCTAAATAGCTCACACTGGGGTGAGCGTCTCTGGCTGCCAGAGGCAGAGTGGTGGACCGTCATCTGCTGTGAGCACAGGCCACTCACTCCCTGTCCATAGGCTTGTAACAGTGGGTTCAGAAGCTGCATAGGTCCTTTCTTGAAGCAGGAGAGGCCTTCAGCCTGGGAGGCACATACTGCCCACTGCAGACAGGGAGCAAGGCAACCTTTATTGATGCACAGGTTGCTGGGAGGATGTGGGGCTTTTGTCCTCTCAGATCTAGAAGAGAACTGGAGGCAGGAAGAGTCAGTTTCTGATGCCACAAAGGACTCCAGGGAAGGAGCAACCACAGATACTGAGGGCACTGAGGCTGGTTTTGCCAGGCCATGGTGATTCCTGGCCCTGCAAGAGTGGTCACTCAGATGGCAGGGGACTCCACACATTCTGAGCTGGAGAGAGAAAGTGAGATGGGCTATCAGCAGAGGCTGAAGAATCAGGCAGAATTGTATTCTATGTCCCACCTCTGCCTCTGCCAGTGACAAGCTGTGCAAACTTGGAAACCTTTTTTTGTTTTTTGTTTTTTTTTTAAGTCAGAGTCTTGCACTGTTGCCCAGGCTGGAGAGCAGTGGTGTGATCTTGGCTCACTGCAGTCTCAACCTCCCAGATTCAAGCGATTCTCCTGCCTCAGCCTCCCAAGTAGCTGAGATTATAGGTACCCGCCACTGTGCCTGACTAATTTTTGTAATTTTAGTAGAGATGGGATTTTTGTCATGTTGGTGAGGCCGGTCTCAAACTCTTGACCTCAACTGAACTGCTCCCCTCGGGCTTTCAAACTGTTGGGATTAGAGGTCCCAGCCACTGGGCCCAGGCAAATTTGGAAACCCTTTTTTCCCTCCTAGTGCCTCAGTTTTCTCAAATGTAAAATGGGAATAACAACATCTACCTTGTAAGACTTTTGTGAGGGTCTAATAACTATCTTATACACATTATTTCATTTAATCTTCACAACAACCTTTAAAATAGGGATATGATCATTCTCAAATTTACACTTGAGCAAGAGTAGGCAGTTCAGATGGCTTGGCCGAGGTTACCTGGCATTTGAGTGGCAGAGCCAAGAATTAAACCCAGCTCTGTCTGACGCTAGACCCTTTGCTTCAACCATATTCTGTAATGTCTCTTTTCTAGGAATGAATGAAGGAATGTTCTCGCATGTCATCATCCAGCCTCTGAGGTGCCTCTGACAACCATAATCGCCTCCTCATGAAACCGCGCCCAGTTCCTCCTGTGACTCTTCCTGCTGCAGCCATGGGCCTTGCTGTCCTGGCTGGGAACGCTGTTTTCATCTTATCTGGGGATTCTCATTGCTGACGGTGCTGGAGGCTGTGGGGCACAGTGGTTTCAAGCACAGGCTCTGGAGTCGGGCAAACCTGGGTTTCAGTATTGCTCAGGAAACTCTTGGGCAGGAGGACTGTTGGTGAGCAGGCACTGTCTGATAATGGGGTTTCCCAGGATCCCAGATTTCTTGGGGGCACACAAGTAGGCCAAAGATAATCTGGGAACCTCCCGGAGAAGAATTGCCTGAGACTGTACTCTCCCCAAGAGGCTGTAGCCAAGAGAATAGGGGCCACGTCACGGGGGCTCATGATGGAGTCTGGGCTTTGTGGGAAAGGAAGTGGGGAGGGTCTCAGAAATGCTTTTACAATACGAAATCTTCCAGTTAGAAATTTATATGCAGGATTTAATCACAAGGAAATTTGGACAGGACTCATTTTTCTCATTGCTGCTCTAAGCAGCTGCTCTAAGCAGCCTGGACTGTGTTCCCTGTGGCTTTGTTGAGTTCAGCAAACATTTATTGTGCACATACTGTGTGCAGGCACTTTGCTGGGGATACAGGGATGAAATGGGGACAGTGCCTATGCCTGAGGGCATTGCCCTGAAGCTGGATGCTAAGGCCATCTGTGTGTGTGTGTGTGTGTCTGCATGTATCTCTGTGTCTGTGTGTGTCTCTGTGTCTGTGCTTCTGTGTCTGTGTGATATCTGTGTGTCTCTCTTCGTGTGTTTGTGTATCTTTTTGTGTGTCTGTGTGTGTGTTCTCTGTGTGCCTGTATGTGTCTTTGTATGTGTGTTTCTCTGTGTGTCTCTCTGTGTGTGTCTATATGTGTGTGTCTGTGTCTATTTTGTTTGTTTCTGGGTGTGTCTACTTCTGCGTGTCTCTGTATACCTGTATCTCTGTGTGTGTCTGTGTGTGTGTATTTGTGTGTCTCCGTATGTGTGTCCCTGGGTGTGTGTCTGTGTGTGTGTGTATTGAGAGGGAGGGAGAAATGAAGGGAGTGACAGATGGGTCAGCATGGAAGGTGTATCCTCATTCACAGCTCTGGGAGGAATCAGTCAATCCACCTACTGGTCAAGACCAACACTGGTTGTACCCAGCTGACAGTAGGAACGTGACTTTTCATTTAAGAATGGGTTTGCATTTCCTAGGAAAAGAATCTAGGAGTTGGAGTCTCAAGTGTTTTTTTTTTTTTCTTTTCTTTCTTTTTTTTTTTTTTTGTGATTGAGAGCTGAGCCTTGTGTGTGTTGGCTAATAGACAGATACCAATCTGCATGTTGGGACAGCCACAGAGAAGAGGGAGAGGGAACCACAGACAGTGAGCAGGGGGCTGGTGGAACCAGTCTGCCTTTGTGCCCAAACCCCCAACTATAAATACCTCATCTTGGGGAGCTCAGTCTTTGGTTTGTTCATAAAAAACCAATCTGGGAACTAGAGGTGGACAGGAAAGAGGAGGCTGACCTGCCGCTCCCAGGTTGATGTGATCTTGGCTGGTGTTGACAAGTGTATTATGGTTCATAGCATAGAACAAACCCTTAGAGACTCCCCTTGTCCTCACCGGGGCCACCACACCAAACCAGGTATCTTCAGGTGTGAGGACCACAAAAAATTGGAGATCTCACCAGGGTGGGCAGGGATTTCTTGGTTAAAGTCTGAAGGAGAGAAGACTCAGGGGCATCTTTCTGGCTCCAAACCTCTGAAGGGCCAAAGGCAGAAGTGCTGGGGGAGAGTCAAGTTTTCACTTAGAACAGGGACAGCCTGACAGTGGCTGCCTTATGTGGCAGTGAGTTTCGGTCACCAGTCAACAGAGGCCCAAGGACTACTCACCAATGGGGCCAGGAGGCCAAGGAGGGCTGGGGAGGGCAGAGCAAGGACCCTGCAGGTCACCACAGGCTCCTGCCTCAGATCCTCTGACTGAGGGATGATCTGATGAAGGATTGGTGACAGACAAGGCCATTTGAGGCAGTGTTCATCATATCCTTGGAACATGTAAAGGCTACAACTTAACATTTATAGGATGGTCTCCGCAGGACAGGCTCCATCATGAATTGCTACCCAGAGGGCTGAATGCTCTGCAGCTCAGGCCTTCCCTGTGCTATGTGGCTTCTCAGGAAAAGGAAAGAGAATAGGACGAGGATGAAAGAAAACAGGGAGAAAAGGAAGGGGAGGGGCTCTCAGAAGATGGAAGTCTCTGTTGATTGGGCACTTGCTCTGTTCCAGCAGTTATATACTTGGCCACACTGGATCTTTGTACAACTTTCTCTGGTTATTTTACAAGTGATGGTCCAGGCGAGCTCTCAGCCAGTGAAGTTCTAGGTGTGCCTGCCTGTGAAGACTGTTGTATTTGGGGTACCCCATGGCCTTCTTCAGGTGGGCAGCACGGTGGCTCAAGCCTGAAAGGTCACTCGGAGGTCATTTCTTACAGCCCTTACCCACTCCCTGCAGGCCCTGCCTCCTGTGATCCACTTGCTCTCTGCTTGATTTTTCAGATCTGTGGATTTATAGAAAAAAGAGTGGAGTGCTTGGCTCCCTCCTGTGGTTAGAGCAGTCAGAAACTGTTGCTTGAAGGAGGCCTTGCCTTTTAGGAGTGCTAAGAAGATCACCACAATGGAAAAGATTTGGCAGAGCTAAGACATAGGGGAATATTACAGGAATGGTGTTATCTGGCACATAGTAGGTGCTCCACACAAGTCTAATGAATTAGTGAATGAGGTAGAAACCTGGGCCATTGAGGGAAAAAGGAACCAAAGCAAAGAGATGCGAAGGCACAGTATCCAATCAGGAAGGGGACCAGCTGGGGCCACAGGCTCTGGACCCAACTTTCCAGGCATCCCTGGGAATCCTGCACCAGCGATCTACCCTGTGGGGCTAAAGCCCCCTTGTGCAATCATGGGGTTGATGTATATGGGTGGTGCTCATTCTAGGCTGCAATTATTAATCACCTGGGAGGTTTTTAAAAATGATTACTGGGCCCTATCATTACCTATTTTGACTTAATAGGTCTGAGGTGGGGCCTGTGCAATGCATTTTTTGAAAGCTCCCCAGGTGATTCTGGGGTCCCTCTGAGGCTAAGAGCCAGGCGTGGGTTATTTTTCTGAATGCTTCTAGCTCATATGGCTTGTGATTCAGAGCTTTTTTTTTTTTTTAAAGATATTTCACTAAATTAAATTCGTATCCTGTGCTAGTAGATGATGTTATTTCACCATTAAGACAATGGGCTGATATTTGTCACTAATAAATCTAAAGATAGATCTTGATATTTGCATCCATAAGGTGATCCCCACCATAGGCAAGGGGAATATGATTTATTCCCCATGCCTCTAATGTAATTAAGCATGCATTTTAAAGAAAGATGCACTATTGAGATACAAACTAGTAATGGCAGTTTAACCTTCAAATTGCTGTTTTGTTAAGGTTACCATTGTATTGCTTCAGTGCTTAACAGTGCATTATTCGTGTAGCAAACATGGAAAATCCATTGGGAGAGAAAGTGTAACATACTCAAGAGATGATTTGAGGCCTCTGGACTTTGTCACATCCCTAAGAACTATTACTTCATTCCCTTCTCTGTTTGTTCTCCTCTATTCTGTGCAAGAAGGTTAACACTGATGGGGGAACAGAAAAAGGAAAAATAATCTACAGCATGGGTAGCTACACTTTAGATACATCACTTAGAGCAAGTTGCTCCTATTAGACAAGTCCAAAGGGCAGGCATTACATTGAGGCATTTCTCAGATCTCTCCTTGCTGGGGAATATCCTTTAGAATTCTGAATTGTGTCTGTGCTGGCAGCCTTGGCTGGCCACGCTTTCCTGCCATCTCTCCCTCCATCCTAACAGGCTCTGGCCTACCACTGTGTGAGCTAGAAAGGTTGTTAACAGGGATAGCTCATAGAGAAGTTGCCAACTGGGCCCAGATGAGACTATTGCCAGATGACACGAGCTCTGGGTTGGATTAGCAAGAAACCACTTGGAACAATATCAGTAATAAGAACCACCATTGATTGAGTGCTACCGCATACCAGATGTGATGCTGCACATGAATAGTTGGACTGATTTTCTTTATCAGCCCAAGGCATAAAAATAGGTTATATCACTTTTGCTTTTCATTTAATTGCTTAAGGCCTATCTGCCAATCATGTCCATCTTCCTTGACTTTTTCAAGAACATTGTGTAGTGTAAAGCATATGGTGATGTTTCCAAATGTACTCAATCTATCAGAGAGAATCTAACTTCGATTGTTAGGGAGAAGATATTGGCTTGACTCTGTGGAAATTTATTTATTTATTTTTGAGAGAGGGTCTTGCTCTGTTGCCCAGGCTGGAATGCAGTGGTGCAACCTTGGCTCACTGCAACCTCTGCCTCCCAGGTTCAAGCGATTCTCCTGTCTCAGCCTCCTGAGTAGCTGGGATTACCAGTGTACACCACCACACTGGGCTAATTTTTGTATTTTTGGTAGAGACAGGGTTCCACCATGTCGGCCAGGCTGGTCTTGAACTCCTGACCTAGGTGATCTGCCCGCCTTGACCTTCCAAAGTGCTGGGATTATAGGCATGAGCCACCGTGCCTGGCCAGGCTGTGCAAATTTAGCTCCCTCTCCCAAGTAGCCAAATCTTGGGACATTTTGCAAAGGATAATCTTTGTGAGCCTTAAAGAATCCTGTTACAGCTGTTCCACATCTGTATTAGTCTGTTTTCACACTGCTATGAAGATACTACCTGAGACTGGGTAATTCATAAACAAAAGAGGTTTAGTTGACTCACAGTTCCACATGGTTGGGGAAGCCTCAGGAAACTTAGAATCATGACAGAAGGCAAAGAGGAAGCAAGGACCTTCTTCACAAGGTGGCAGGAGAGAGAGAGAGAGAGCGAGAGAGCCAGGAAGTGCCACACTTTAAAACCATCAGTTCTTGTGAGAACTGACTCACTTATCGAGAGAACAGCATGGGTGAAATTGCCTTCACAATCCAATCACCTCCCACCAGGTCCTTCCCCTAACACATGGGGATTACAATTTGAGATGAGATCTGGGTGGGGACACAGAGCCAAACCATATTAATATCTTAGTGTGTACCTTGTGGTCTTCTGTTTGCAGTATCTCAGAGATGCAACTGAAGTATTCAGAGAAAAATAAAACATCTATTTCATTGTGATAAAACTTATAGTGTCGTCAGATAGAAGCCACTGGTGGGTTCTCTCTCTTTTTTTTTTTTTGAGACAGAGTCTCACTCTGTTGTCCACTCTGGAGTGTAGTGGTGCAATCTTGGCTCACTGCAACCTCTGTCTTCTGGGTTCAAGTGATCCTCCTGCCTCAGCCTCCCAAGTAGCTGATACTACAGGCATGCGCCACTACACCTGGCTAATTCTTGTATTTTTAGAGGAGATGGGATTTTGCCATGTTGGCCAGGCTGGTCTCAAACTCCTGACCTTAGGTGATCTGCCTGCCTTAGCCTCCCAAAGTGTTGGGATAGTCATGAGCCATCACATCCAGCCAAACCTACTGGCAGGTTCTCTTGACGAAACAATTCTAAGTTCTGTTTTGCCTGGCAGTCTATCATACCTGTGTACATAATTTAATCTTCACAACAACTTTGCAAAGTAGGTGACTTAATCTCATATAATTTTTCTTATCATAATGATAGTGAAAGTTTATATTTTCTTACCACTTTTTCTTTGTTCCAGGTTGTGCCAGCTTGTATATAAATAATAAATAATGAGCTGGGTGCAGTGACTCACACCTGTAATCCCAGCACTTTGGGAGGCCAAGGTGGGTGGATCACTTGAGGTCAGGAGTTCAAGAGCAGTCTGACCAACATGGTGAAACCCCATCTCTACTAAAAATACAAAATTAGCTGGGCGTGGTGGTGCATGCTTGTAATCCCAGTTACTTGGGATGCTGAGGCAGGTGAATCGCTCGAACCTGGGAGGCGGAGGTTGCAGTGAGCCAAGATCGTGCCATTGCACTCCAGCCTGGACAACAAGAGCAAAACTGTCTCAAATAAATAAATAAATAAATGGACTATTGCTAACCCTTACCATAAGACCATAGGTAGGTATTGTCATTCAATTTAACAACTAGGAAAGCAAGTCTCAGAGACGTTAAGTCCTTTGCCCAAGTTTTGGTAGTTCACAGATTTCACAAATCACAGAGGTAGGATTCAATACTACATGTCCCCAACTTCCAAACCCATGATGTTCACTGCGGGAAGTTATATGCCTACAAATTTTTACCTGTCCTAGAGCAGGTGGGATGTGCTTTCCTGAAGGATCCAGTTCTAAAAAGGTTAGGAAGTGCATTTCAGAGATGTTATGCAGGGTATTCCTGTCACAGGAAGGGAGGGGATGGACAATGTCCCTCCAGCTCAGGAAGAGACTTGTAAACCAGCAGACAGTCCCATTGCTGAGCGCAGAGTCTGGTTCAAAGAATACATGAAGAAAGATATTTGTGAAGAAAGAAGAGAGAATGTGTTCTGACTTGGGACTGATTAAACGTTAAAGAAAATATACTAGGATCTGTCAGAGGAGGTGAAGTTACTGTGGTCTGCAGCGGTCAGGAAAGGCGGAGGCAAATTTTGACTCAGGATATGAAAAACTTGCTTACTACCAGTCATAGATGATAGGGCAGAATCCATCAGGTTGTTTTGACAAGTTTTCACTTCACTTAGGGGTTTCCAGGAGCAAATTTCTCTTTCCTCCTTAGTAAACAGCCTTTAACAACCCTGCAGTACTAGTTTTGCCTTTAGATGGCACTCATGTACTTTTACAGCTTTTACTGCTTAGCTTCCAAAGGAGCACAGCACTGGTTCTCTCTAACGTTTTCCTAATCTCTTTTTGTTGTATTTCTCTAGGTCATGGTGTCCACTTATGGTGAATGAGATGCCAGAGGACAGACGTATGTTTATTTTATTGATTATTAATTCATGCATGTGTACCTTCTCTGAAGATAAAAAGAACTTGAGGCTGAAAGACCAGTCTAGCATCCTGTATTATACATATTGGAGGCAGACAGCACAGGTGCCCTTGAGACAGTCCTTCTGATGCAAGAGCAACTTTCATTCTCTTTGCACCCTTGCACAGAGAGTCAAGCAACTATGAGCTGGACTATGAGTCTATGAAGGGACAAGATCCTGAAACAGCACCGCCCTGGGGGAAAGAACCAGTTTTGTCTCAAGTGACAGAGAGGTGGAGGAAATTTGTTTTCTTCAATTCCATATTTATTACTTTTTGTTTGCTCTTAACTATTCTATTATTCTGAGACACATCTAGGTAGACAGGATGGAGGTAAGGCACAGTCAAAAGCATTGTATTTAGGGAGGTAATGAGAAACTGTGAATTTGAAATTACCAGACAGATGTAACAATCAATAAACTAGGAACATAGGAATTGGAGGCGAGGCAAGGATGGGTAAAAGATAAATGATATCATCCCAGGTTTTCTAAGCTTGGATAGGGGAGAATGAATTTGAGTTTGGAATGAGAATTTCTGGGAATGGGGCTGAGCCTGGGCTAGTTGAATTTTGAGATGGAGCAGAAGCATCTCTCCTTCTTCTGACCTTGCCCTGTATCTTATGACTATGTCTTTATTTAATAAATATCTGAGCACCACTCATGTTACAGGTATTGGTAAAGCCACTGAGGAAGTAGCTATGGATAAGGCAAACAAAACTTCTTCCCATGAGCTTACATGTTAGTAGGGAAGGTAAAAACCAATAACAAAATCATTTCAGATGATGATGGATGCTATGAGGATGACAAGATAGAAAACCGTAATAGAGAGTGATTGAGATAAGGTTTATTTAGATAGAGAAGTCACGGTAGACTTTTCTGGGGTGATGTTGGAGCTGAAACCTGAACAAAGAGAAAGAACCAGCTCTCTATTGATATTTGTGATTCCAGGGAAACTACAGCTAAAGACAGTCAACTCCCCTGGTAACATCCTAGAAAGGCTTGAGACTGTATGCATAACAAAGAATGAGAATTAAAAGGGGGGACCCAGACAGGAGGACACGTTGGAGCTTCGTACACGCAAGTTGACTTGCACCCTATCCCCGTGTACAGAATGACCTTTAGGCAGTATTTACACCCTGGCAAAAGCAAACCAAACAGGCCATAACTTTGATTACATCAGACAAACAAAATAAAATAGAAGTTCCTTTTAAGAAATATTAAAGAAGCCATCTAGGAGAGCGGGTGTAGCTACTGCCTACCTATGTAAAGTTTTCCGTAATCTGGCACTGTTTTGAGGAAGAGGTGTGCTAGAAAAATGACTGGTTTCCTGGTAGCTGATAAAGTTTGATTATCTGTAAGTCTCACTCTGACTTCCTCTTTCTTTTTCTTCAGTCTTAAATATATATTGGTAAAAATGATTCAAGATACTCCAGAAAAGTGTGCAATGTTCAGCAAAGAAATTTAAGTTAAAAAAAATGGAAAAAAATAAAGATACATGTAGAGAATAGGAGTCCAAACAGAAGCAAACCCCAAATACCCACCTTCTCTGCCAATCACATAAAAAAGGCAACACAGTAATAAAGATTAAGGAATTACAACAAATTACCGGAAATTAAAATTTGGATTATAAAAAATTTAATAGGAAATTGAGAAGATAAAATAAAGTCTCCTTCACACAGTGAACAGGTAGCCATCTGCAAGCACGAAGGGAGTCCCCACCAGAACCAGAACCAGACCATGCTGGCACCCTGATCTCAGACTTCCAGCCTCCTCAGAGCTGCAGTGAAATAAATTGCTATTGTTGAAGCCATCCAGTCTATGGTTTTTGTTATGGCAGCCCAAGCTAACACAGATGAATAAATGCAAAGTTTAATAGGTAATTGGAATTTATAAGAAAAATAAGTGGTACTTAAAAACTGAAAACAAAATCTGAAATTAAGTCAACTGAGCACAGCAAAACACCAGAAAGACAAGTAAATCCAAACAGAAGTACAGAGAAAGAATGCAAAACTCATAGAGGAATGTAAAAGACATGAGGGTCGGTGTCAAAGGGGCTAAAGTAAGTATTATAATGATCACAGAAGGAGACGAATCAGGGGATGGTGGAGAGGCAATATGTGAAGAGATAATGGCTAAGAATTTTCCAATACTTTATATAAACGGAATCATATAATATGAACTTTTTTGTGTTTGGCTTCCTTCACTCAACATAATTATTTTGAGATTTGTCTCTGTTGTTTTGTGTACCATTTATTTCTTTCTATTGCTGAGTAGTATACCGTCGTATGTATATTCCATAGTTTATTTAATCATTCACTCATTGATGGACTTTTGGGTTATTTCTACTTTATGTCAATTGTAAATAAAACTAATATAAATATTTGTCTATGCAAATATTTGTATAAATGTATCCTTTGCTTTCTCTTGGTTAAAAACCTAGGAGCAGCATGACTAGATCATATAGTAGGTATAAGTTTAACTTTTAAAGACACTGCTAAACTGTTTTGCAAAGCAACTGTACCATTTTACATTACCGTCAGTGGCTCAGGGATCTTCCACTTTCTTGCCAAACCTTGGTACAGTCAGTCTTTTTGATTTTAGCCATTTTAATAGGCTTGTAGTGGTATCTCATTTGTGGTTTTAATCAACATTTCTGTAAAGACTAATGATGTTGAGTATATTCTACATTGCTTTGGTTAAGTGTCTGTTTAAATCTTTTGTACATTTTTTATTAGGTGTTCTTATTATTGAGTTTTGAGAGTTCTTTACACATTTTGTCCTTTATGAATGATATTATTGGCAAATATTTCCTCTCAGTCTGTAGTTTGTCTTTTCATTTTTTAAACAGTGTCTTTTAAAGAGAAGTTTTTATGAAGTCTAAATTATAAATATATTCTTTTTTGGATTATACTTTTGGTTTCACATCTAAGAAGTTTTTTGCCTCATCCTAAGTTACAAAGCTTTTCCCCTGTTTTCTTCAAGAAGTTTCATTGTTTTACATTTTTAAAATTGTGGTAAAAACTAAATATGAAATCAATCCTCTTAACAAAATTTTAAGTGTGTACTATAGCACAATATTGTACAGTAGATCTCTAGAGCTTTTTCATCTTGTGTAACTGAAACACTATATTCACTGAACACTGAACACCAACTCCCCGTCACCTCACCCGGCTCTCCTGTGGAAGCCATCATTCTACCTTCTGCTTCTATGAGTTTGATTACATTTGATACCTCATAGTCATGGAATCATACACTATCTGTTCTTCTCTGACTAGCTTACTTCACTTAGAATAATGTCTTCAAGATTCATCCATATTGTTTCATATGACAGGATTTCCTTCTATTTAAAGGATGAATAATAACATTCCATTGTATGAATATACCACGTTTTCCTTATCTAATCATCGGTCAATGAACATTTAGGTTGTTTCCACATTTTGGCTACTGTGATTAATGCTGCAATGAATATGGGAGTGTAAATATCTCTTTGAAATCCTATTTTCACTGAGCTTCTGTGGAAAACTGGACACGGTTAGAGATTTGGGGTTCCATGGCTGACATTTGGAACATGACACAGCAAGCTTTGGATAGGGGGTACCACAAAACCCAAGGAATGCCCACTTTCTGGCTGACCCATAGCATCTATGATGGATGGAGCTGGGTAGTGGGAGAACACATGGTGCCCCCACAACAGGTACCATGATGTATAGAGCAACATTGGGATAACATCACCGTGGGGTGGTTGCCTACCATAGTCTACACAAATACAATATGTCACCACACCTTTGTGGAATAGGTAGCCTCATCAAGGTCAGGCTCCAATGTGCTTTGTGCCCCCAGGAAGTTCGTGTCTGTGGTGACACAGGATGGTCATGTTTGTCAGCAAACTGGACTGGCTATTCTACCTGGGGGTGGACTGATATGCTTGCCACTGTCATTCCCACGTTGTTTAGAGGCCCACGTAAGTGGGAGATGCTATGTTCCCAGTTTTTGTGAGTGTGATGAGCCCCCTGGTGACTCTACCTCTTAGCCTTAACCATCCCTGGAGCAGGTGTCATAACTGTAGAAATGCAAGTTACGGCCCTTGTGGAGCACATTGCTTGAGCTTTGAGTTACACCCGAGTTGCCATCCTTCTGTTGACAGATGAGGTCGATCAAATCCGGAAGGTGGTACTGCAGAACCAGATGGCTCTAAACATATTAACTGCTGCCCAAGGTGGCACCTGTGCTCTTTTAGGAACGCAATGTTGTACCCTCATCCCTGACAATCAACAAAACATAACAGCTTTTCAAGAAGTTTCCCAGGAAATCAAGGCAGTTGAGAGCCTTACTGATGACCCCCTACTGACATGGTGGGCATCTCTGGACTCTGGCCTATGCTGGACCCTAATAATTATGGGCAGCATAGTGGGAACATTAGTAGTAAGTTGTTGCTCCCTGTATTGCTGCCGTGGCCTTTGGTTCCAGAGTTCTGCCCTGTGGGCACGTCTCCCCATTAGAAGGACTTCCTCAGCCTAGCGGGTGGAGTGTAAGAAAAATGGCTGTGATTCAGTCAGGAACAGGCTGAGGTAGACATCATTACAGAGGGTCTGGAGCACAGGCTCACAACCCTGTGCAGTATGTAATCAAATTTATGCAGCCATTTTAATGTAACCTGTTTGTGTGAGCTCATACTGCTCCAGTAGCATTGTGAAATGGGCCCACACCTTCGCTGAGATGACCAATGTTTGTAACTTGGATCTGCACTGCCCTTCCAGCAGCAGCTCTGGATGGTTTGCACTGGTACATACATCCTTTAAGCCATATTGTCTGTGAGTAATATAATGGCACTGCTGACTCTGTAGGAGACAGAATAAAGCCACGTCCCAGCTGCCTACGGTCCCTCGAGTGTTCTTTCAGTAACCTGCCACACAGCCACCAACTCCCCTCGAACCCCAGCTTGGGTTGGAACCTGACACGTGGTTGTACTAATTTACATTCTTACTAACAGTGTGTGAGGGTTCCCTTTTTTCCATATCCTTGCCAGCATTTGTTATTGCATGTCTTTTGGATAGAAGCCATTTTAAGTGCGATGAATCTCATTGTAGTTTTGATTTGCATTACTCTGGTGATCAATAATCTTGAACACATTTTTATATGTCTGTTTGCCATTTGTATGTCTTCATTTGAGAAATGCTTATTTACATATTTTCTTCATTTAATTTTAAAAATATTTTATTTTAATATTAACTTTTATTTTAAATTCAGGGGTACATGTGCACATTTGTTACATCAGTAAACATGTGTCATGGGAGTTTGTTGTAAAGATTATTTCATCTGCCAGGTATTAAGCCTAGTATTCATCAGTTATTTTTCCTGATTCACTCCCTCCTTCCACCCTCCACCTTTTGATAGGTCCCAGTGTCTCTTGTTTCCCTTTATGTGTCCATGTGTTCTCATCATTTAGCTCCCACTTATAAGTGAAAACATGTGATGTTTGATTTTCTGTTCCTGTGTTAGTTTGCTAAGGATAATGGCCTCCAGCTCCATCTATGTTCCTGCAAAGGAAAGGATCTCATTCTTTTTTATAGCTGCATAGCATTCCATGGTGTATATGGATCACATTTTTTATCCAGTCTATCACTGATGGGCATTTAGGTTTATTCTGTGTCTTTGCTATTATGAATAGTTCTCTATGAACATATGTGTGCATGTATCTTTATGATGAAACAATTTATATTCCTCTGGTTATATACCCAGTAATGGAATTGCTAGGTTATAGCTCTGTTTTTAGATTTTTGAGGAATCACCACACTGTTTTCCACAATGATTGAACTATACAATAGTGTATAAGTGTTCCCCTTTCTTCACAACCTCACCAGCATCTTATCTTTTGACTTTTTGATAATAGCCATTTTGACTGATGTGAGATGGTATCTCATTGTGGATTCAATTTGCATGTCTCTAATCAGTGACATTGAGCTTTTTTTCCTATGCTTGTTGGCTGCATGTATGTGCAGCTCTTCTGGTATCAGACAAAATAGATCATAAGGCAAAAAACTTTAGTAGAGATAAAGAGAAGCATTTCTTAATAATACATAATGATAAATGCATATATGTAGCACAATGTATCAAATTCACAATACATGTAGGTATATGCAAAAATCTTTTGCCTCTCATTCCTATTTTACTATCCTTGTGTGTATCAAGGACACACACTAAGGTCAAATTGTATGTCCTTCTGTCTGAGATCCTATCCTTGTTACCTCTATAATTCTTATTCTTCTTTCACAAAACTTTGTCAAGTTTTTCCAAGTTTTATTGAGTCCATGGTTTGGTTTTTGCATTCTGGTCCCTTTTGCTGAGCACTCTGTAGCCTGACTTTCTGTCTGCCTCTATCTGTGACCCTACAAAGCTCTCAGCCTCCTGTTACTATGACCTAAGTAATAGTATGAACATATTCCTAGTAGACTTTTTGGAGAGGAAGGATGGTCTGGTAGGCAGTCGTCTGCTTCCAGAAATAATGCATAATGGTCATTGCCATGTGTTTTGGAAATTAAGCTCAGCCTGTCTGAGCTTGCATAGTTTACTTTGTTTGTGTCAACATTGCTGCCTCACCCAGGGATTGGTTCCCCTTATCAACTTCCAGTTTTATTGCATATGACCTAGCCAAATTCAGTTCAAATTTTGTGTAAGTCACAAATATCCTTTTCAGGAAAGATTGCTGCAAGTCAGTATAAAAGATAAATATTAATTCTATTCTCAATATTGGATGTATTAAATGGGATTCCAGGCAGGGCCAGCAGGAATGTGAACTGAAATAATAAAGCAGTATATCTAAAAATGGAATGAAAGTGCAAGGAAAGGTAGATGCTAATGTCAATCATTCATTTTACTTTCCCTCCAGTTACCAGAATTTAATCCAGATATGGCCTGAGTTCTTTCCTAGGTTCTCTGTACTCTCTTCAGTCTAAGCTCTTAACCAGTCCAAGCTCCTACCTCTTAAATGGAATCCCATTTTCTCTGGACTGGGTTACTGCTTGGTTCAAAATGGTCCTCCATACTTCTTATCTTTGTCATCACACCACTTCAACACCTAAACGAAGTTTCTGCAATGCTCATTAAAATTACTCACAATCCCATCCCATATGCTATTTCAGTTAGAAAAAGGCTTACTGAAGAAAATACACAATTTTACACATATTATACCTGCCCACTGTTGAGAAAAATGTAACTCCTGTTCTTCTAGT